TTGGTGAGTGGGTTTGAAAGACTGTTGAAGAAGTTTTTTTTTTTATGTGGCTCACCTATTTTAGTGTCCCAAAGCCTTTGAAGAAGCTGTTGGATATGCTTTTCTCCAATAGTAGTAGCAAACTAAACTCTTCCAATTAAAGTTTGTTGACCTATGTGGTAATTTGAAAATGTTTATTTGCTACTTTATAATTTATGCCATATCAGACTCTTCAAATTCAATTAATGCAATGTTATGGAAAAAAATTGAAAAATACGAAAAATATGTGAAGAATGTCTATGTATTCTATTTGTGGTTTCATTGTGGGCTTAAGCTTGGCACAATAGTGTGGCAAACCACACAAAATTATTATATCTTTTACAAATATAGAAATTATAAAACCCATATGTTTAATTATGTTTGTTTTTGCCAAAGTTGGGAAGGGGGAGGGGGAGGGGTGATTTTTCATACACACACTACCAAGGCGGCATAAGGATTCGAATATGAGACCATTAATCTGCAAATTAAGGTCTTTTTTCAATGGGCTAAACCAGATTGGCATGCGTCTTGTAGACTTGAGTCCTCTCTAATCACACACAGGATGCCCTGCTTCAACATCAGCCATCTGCACCATCTTCTGCTTCAAATGTCCATTAATCATAAATCTACCTCATCAAAGACCCCCACATTGCAGGAATTATACATTATTGTATTGTGCTTTGGCTCCCTATCACTTTCACAAATCATGTCATCCAATTTAGACTTTCAATCGCTTCTCTTCTCAAGTCATCTCTTCTACCAAATTTGCTGTTCTAATCAAATTGAAGTCAAGTCCACACACTTCATAATTATCCAGACACCACGAGGTTTGTTATTCTTTGAAACTCCCCATTTGTTATCAATCAAATCTTCTGACTTTGCAAAGCCATTTGTGGCCAACATTTAATTAAACAGAAATGGAATTTCTCTTATTTTGAGTGCTATAATGTATTTTATGTATTCTTTTGTATTGTTCCCCAAAGGTATTTAACAAAGAACAAAATAAATATTCAAGCAGATATGCTCTTCTGCTTTTGTTGTATATCCTTGTCTAACTGCAGACCAAATTTGTAAAGACCAGCAATTGATTTTTGCTTTATTTATTGAGAATCAAATCAAATACACACATTACAATTTATCATAGACTTAGGTGCAAGCCAAAGCAGCTCTGGGTTGATACACAAGAAAAAGAAAAGGAAAAATGAAAGCCACACCAATCTAATGACAGAGAAAGCACATCATGCAGTATATATTCATTTAAGTTTTTAGTTGTAGGCATCTGGGTTGGCCACAAGGTAGTTCTCAATAAGCTTGAACAGACCAGTTGCCTTCTCTTTGCCAGCCTTAACATCCTCTTCCTTGATCTCAACATCACCTTTGGTGTGGTAGTTGCTGGTGCTCTTTATGATGGAACCTCCATCAGATGCCACCAACTTAATCTCATATGTGATTTTCTCAACCTTGTCTGAAAGGGCATCTCCTTCAACCAAAGTGTAGCTGTACACAAAGTTATCTTTGTCAAGCCCGTCGATCCGGTGCTTCACGTAGCTGTAATGACTTCCTGTAAAATGAGGATTATAATTAGAAATTAAGAGATTAATGCTTTCAAGATTTATGTTATTAATTAGGCAAACAAGTTAAACTTAGAAGAGGCAATGACAGAAACCGACCTTCACCAAAGCTAATCTTCTTGATGGTTCCAACACCTCCATCTCCTTCAACAATTTCAGCACTTTTAACTGCTTGTGGAGCAATCTTGGGGATGAGGGTGTCAGCTTCAAGAACAAGGGCTTTGAACAATCTTGGTGGGGGGATGACTGAGGTGGACTCGTCTGAGTATGTGAAGACACCCATGGTGATGATTTTAGAGCTTAGAAAATGATCAAAGAAAGATTGAGATGTGGAGGAAGCTAAGAGAATGTTTGATATTGGTGTGAGGGAAGTGTGAGCACCAGAGGTGGTATTTATAAGTTAGGGGGAAGGGTATATGTGTAAAGTAGCTCCCATATATAGACAATTTTTAAAAAAAATTTAGCGGTGGTTGTACATGTGAAAAGGAAAAATATAATTCCCAATTCAATGTTTCAATATTTTTTAGTCAAAGAAATTACGCCACCACTAAAAGTTCATTTGGAAAATTCAACTTATTCCAACTGGTGTGCTAACTTAATAATATTCTAATTGACCAATAGGATGTTCCAAAATTAACATGTCTATCTACATGCATAGTCGACTCCGAATGCCAACTATTATATGGAATGCACATGTGGCATGTTCCTGTGATCAGAGTATTGCAAATTTTTTTTTTAATACAAACAATATTTAGGGGAGGAGGGAATCGAACGTAAGACCTCAAATACAAAAATAAATACTCTTAATCACTTTAGCTACAAGTACCTTTGCGAGGAATAAAGCCAGAGTTCTGCATGCTCAGTGTCCGGACAAAAAGAGAAGGAGAAAGGAAATAGATGCTCAGCATTATTTTTGACATAAAAGACAACCTTCAAAGTTGGCGGGACTCATAATTTGGATAATTAACAGAGTGGGGAAAAAAGACAAAACAAAAATAGCAGGATCAGTACTGTTTTCGGTGCAATTTGATATAGAATATCATCGTATTATAAAAAAAAACTTAATTTGCCTCACTTTGTTACAAGAATAAAACCCTATTTGTAATGTATTAATTTGCCTCACATAATCACATTAATGGTTATGTTAAGTTAGATAAATTAAGCATCTCCAATAGTCTCTCAAACGGAACTCTTCAAAATGCGGTTTATTGACGTACGTGCCAATTTGAAGGGTAAAATTTGCTACAGCCTCTTCAATTTAATTAATTCAATGTTTGACTTTTCTTTTTCTATTTAATCGAACACTAATATTTAATTCGATTTAATAATAACAAATTAATATTTAAATAATAATTCATTATTGTTAACTCAGCCTCATGTAGGCTTTTAACATTCCAAGGTAGCTTTTGTTGTTTCAAAGCTTAATAAATACATTGAAGAGTGAAGGAAGAGTCCCAGATTTGGTGAGTGGGTTTGAAAGACTGTTGAAGAAGTTTTTTTTTTTATGTGGCTCACCTATTTTAGTGTCCCAAAGCCTTTGAAGAAGCTGTTGGATATGCTTTTCTCCAATAGTAGTAGCAAACTAAACTCTTCCAATTAAAGTTTGTTGACCTATGTGGTAATTTGAAAATGTTTATTTGCTACTTTATAATTTATGCCATATCAGACTCTTCAAATTCAATTAATGCAATGTTATGGAAAAAAATTGAAAAATACGAAAAATATGTGAAGAATGTCTATGTATTCTATTTGTGGTTTCATTGTGGGCTTAAGCTTGGCACAATAGTGTGGCAAACCACACAAAATTATTATATCTTTTACAAATATAGAAATTATAAAACCCATATGTTTAATTATGTTTGTTTTTGCCAAAGTTGGGAAGGGGGAGGGGGAGGGGTGATTTTTCATACACACACTACCAAGGCGGCATAAGGATTCGAATATGAGACCATTAATCTGCAAATTAAGGTCTTTTTTCAATGGGATGAAAGTGTGAAAGGACTAGATGATTGGCAGGGATGATATTTGATGTTGGAAAATGTGAGCACTGGAGGTGCTATTTATAGATGGAAGCATATGGTCATGGTGTTAGAAATTTCCTCGGTAGATTAAAGTTTTCAATGAATGTCCCTATTGGAAAAGGAGGCTAGAATTTTCAATTTCAGTGACTTTCTGTTCAAGTCTAAGAAGCCGCCTCAAATAGCTAATTTTAAAAACCCAATTAGTCCAGCCAACCAGAGTTGCTAACTTATAACTAAGTACTTGGAGTACTTGATGGCAGACACATTATACATAACAGAATTATTTACTAATAAGGTCAATTTGTACATCTTATAGACTGATAAAGTCTTAGTTTGTAGGATGAATGAAGATGAACATCTGATCTGACAGGCTTAAACATATGTAGTTACAGAGGTTTTCATATACTTTTCCACTCACTCATGCAGCCAAAGTACAAGACTAGTCAATTGCTAAGAGCACTTCCACCCATGGCAAAAGGGGGCCTAGGCTCCAAAAACAACTTCCACCCATTACCCTTTGCCATGGAAAAAAGTGGATCCATGAAACTAGGCAAGCCCAAAGCCATGACTTGCCTGGGTTGCTGATGTCAGTGACCAATTTAAATATCAAAAGAATTGGAAAAAAAAGGGAAAAAATTAAGATTTTTTTTTTCTTCTATAAATACCTAGCCATGTTCTTCACTTCTTATACCAAAATCCATACAAATTCTTCTCTCCATATCTCATGTGAATAGTGGTTACTCTTGGGTTGCCATGGCAATGGGTGGGAGGGAATGCATAAAAAAAATTGCTAGAGCAGTCACTATTCATGTGAATAGTACCTGCCCTTACTTGCCCTTACCCTTTGTCATAGCACAATAGGTGAAATTGCTCTAAGCATATGCATTTAGTCTGGCATATATTCAATATGTCATGGAAGACATTTGCAACATCAGTAAATGTTCCTTAGTCTGGTTGTGAAGTAGATTTTTGCAGTGAATCCAGGCAGAAATTTACTGCAGCTCATACCCAAACCTTATAAAATTGAAAAAACAGTATCAATAAAAAAAAAGAAAATAAGCCAATGTTGACTAGAAAATAAAATATAAAATGAAAAAATAAAGCCGATGTTGACTGCCAGCCAATTGCCATTGTGGAGGAAAAAGAATGATTTCTCATGGATTCAGAAAGAACAGCTGATGTAGTTAACTTTCATGACCGACCATTTGTTTATTGAAAATTCAAATTATAATTGGAAGACCATCTAGAACCCGACCCCATATAGTACACAGTCTAGAACCAATTGGCTTGTAATTTCATTCGTCTTTGGGAGCTTTCCTTTACCGTTTTGGACATATGCGATACAATTTTATCAGCAACTTGCATAAACTGGTTAACAATGTACAAGGACAGCTATTCACACACCAAATGGGAACCTTCAACTCAGCTCATGCTCTTAGTTGTGATCGATAAATATCACCTTCCGCATCCTCATTTTCTTCAACTTATAACCTTCTTGTAGTTCAACAATTCTCTTTTTCCTTTAAACGCTTCCTTTGATCAGTTTTCCAAGTAAAAAACTCATCATCATGGGTGTTTTCACATATGAAACAGAGTTCACCTCTGTCATCCCACCAGCAAGGCTGTTCAAGGCTTTCATCCTCGACGCCGATACCCTCATCCCCAAGATTGCTCCATCTGCAGTCAAAGGTGCTGAAATCGTTGAAGGCGATGGAGGCGTTGGAACCATCAAGAAAATTACCTTTGGTGAAGGTTAGCTAGTTGACCCCTTATTCTCCGTATATGTTCACATTTCTTTGACACTTTGATGAACTCAAAGAATTTTACTAATTTATGTTTTAATCCATTTGTAGGCAGCCAATTCGGGTTTGTGAAGCACAGGGTCGATGGGATCGACAAGGACAAGTTTTCTTACAGCTACACTTTGATTGAAGGAGATGCCTTGTCTGACGTAATCGAGAAGATCGCTTATGAGACCAAGTTGGTGGCATCCCCCGACGGAGGATCCATCATCAAGACCACCAGCCACTACCATGCCAAGGGAGATGTTGTGATCAAGGAGGAGCAAGTTAAGGCTGGCAAAGCAAAGGCTTCCGGTCTCTTCAAGCTTGTTGAAGACTACCTAACGGCCAACCCTGATGCCTACAACTAAAACCAAACTTGTTTGTATTTGTAATTTGGGTTCTACCAGTTTCATTGTCAGTTAAAGGTGTCGGTTTGCCATGGACTTGGTACATCAAGTGTCTGTTTGTCCAGTTGTTCATGATATATGTTACACTTTGTTTGTTTGTTTGTTATTATGAAGTCAATATGTTCCAGTTGAAATCACATTAAAAGATTGAATTGTTGTATTTTATATGAAATATTGAAGGTTGAAAGTTGATCTGGTACTCAATTCTGTAACTTGCAAATGTTGGCTTGAACTTTGAACTATTAATCATTGTTAATATTGTACGGTTTATTTGATCATACCACTGAATCCAGTGTTGACTGCCAGTTGTAAACGAGGTCTTGAAACCCAAAATTAGAAAAACAAAACAGGAGAGAAAAAACACTTCAGCTACAAACAGTATAGGCACCCCAAAGAAAAACTGTGACCTTGAGCACCAGTTGAGAGACTTTTAACAGCTCATGAAGTTCTTAGAGCATGTTTAATGGGACTGATCTGGCCTCAGAAGAAAACAGACACTTTCTAATGCATGTGTTTGGCCCAATTCATTTTGACATAAGGCAAGATAAGGCTATCTTCAGTCATGAGCTAAAAAAAATTTGGCCACATTTAGAGGCCCCAATTTATTTTTTAAATTTATTTATAAAAAAAACCTAAAATATGTCTATAAATACTTCAAAAAATTTCCCACTCATTTAATTCCACATTTCTTACAAATGCTATCACATTCTCTACTTATTCACAACTTTCCACACTTTTTTTCTGTCAAATATTTTCCATACTCGCAAAGGACTCACTAGTGTAGTGTTTTGGAGTGTTTACTCCCTCAGACGAGGTCCTGGGTTCGAGTCCTAGCATCCGTATAGTGTGTGTAAGTTTAGTATGTTATCACCCCTCTCAATAGGAAAAGTCCTCAAAAAAATATTTTTCATACTCATTTCATCCAAAAATTTCCTACAAATTTATTCTCTTTGAAAAATGTTATTCACACTATTTGAAAAATGTCTCAGATCGACACATGTCACTCGAAAATAATATCTGAAAAATTATTAAGATTCTTTCAGGATAAGGCGTGCCACATGGACACAAAATCTTATGAGAAATCTTGTTAAATGCTTATCAATGTACACGTGTCATATATGAAATATTTTTTTGTTGATAAATACAACGAGATGTCCCCACACCCAAAAGGTGGGATTAATCCCCTTTTATGCACTTCCAACGGCTCTTTAGCCTTTTTTTCTCTCTCTTTTTTTTGGGACATTTTGGAAAAAGCAAAATGAGAGAGAAAAATTTTAAAAGAAGCAAAAATGGACAAAAATGCCCTTATTTATTTTTAGATTTCTTAAGAAATCCAATACATTTGCATGTCTTTGATTTGAAAGTTGAGTGGTTTTTTTGTCTTTTTTGAAAAAGCTTTGGCTTTTTCCAAAACTGAAAATTTTTTTATGTCTAAAACCTAAAAAACCTCTTTTTTTTTCCCTCACAACTCTATAAAAACCTAAACATTTGTTCATCACCTTTTGAAGATATTTGAACAATACAAGCATTATCAAATAGGTCGAAAAAATTAAGACTCGCACTCACAAAGTGGCACGCTTGTTTGATGAAAGCATCGGATAATTATCGTAGTGATTCCAATCTCATGGATGAGGTGAGAATTTCTAGTATAAGCATTGTGTTTATTAATTTCATGCATTTCATATTCATAATAATATTTTTTTTCTTTAAATGATTAATTTATTTGTTCAACATATGTATAGAGAATACAAGCGGAAGTGTATTACACACAAGATACAAAATCCAATTTTTTCTTTCACCATTTTTGGGAGATATGCAAGCATTCTGAGATGTTCAAAGATCCACCGCGAACGTGAGCACAGTGTAAGTCAACCTTCACCCGTTCAATTGTCACCACTTGAATCTCCGATTGATTTGAATCAAGACAAAGATGAGCAATGAAAGAGGAAACCGTAGGTCCCTTCCCAAGGTTGCAGGGAAGGAAGAAGTCAAAAGAAGCTCAGAGAAAGGGGAAGAAGCATGACCCTCAAAATAATCGACTTTGTGTGGCCATGGAGACCATTGCTATGCAAAACTTAAAAGCGGCGGAGCTAAGGGAGAAAAAGAGATGCAGATTATACAAAGATGATGGAGTTTCAACAACAATTGACATTGCGGAAAGAATGAGAAAGAAAGATAGAAAGAGAGGATAGAATTATGGAGAAAGACACTAGTGAAATGACTCCAAATAAAAAAGGAGTATTGGAAGAAAAGACAACGAGCTATAATGGACAGGCAAGGGAGTGGTGTTGGTGGTGGCTCGCATGAGGATCACGATGGTAGGTATTATCCCCATGATCATCGTGCTTGGTTCACCCCTCCTCGGTAGTTGTTTTTTACATTTCCAAAAATAAATTGTTGTGTTCTTTTTCTTAGGTTTTGAATGTTATCTATTTATGTAATTGAAATTTTATGAAAATCTTCTTGTTGTCGAAGTTACAAGTATAAAATGAGAAGAGATTTTTCCTCATAACTCTATAAAAAAAAACCTAACCATTTGTTCATCACCTCCTTATGCTTTGATTTTTATCACAAATAAAATAATAATAAACTAAAATAACAAGTTTTGAATTTTAACGCCTAGCCTCTCACCACCACTAGAACTAGGGGTGGCATTTTAAACCGAAAAATCGAAAAATCGCAAAAATCAACCGACAATTTACCGCAATGAAACCGCAATCGCGGTAAACCGAACCGCATTTGCGGTATTAAGAACCGAACCGCATTTGCGGTTGCGGTTGCGGTATTTGATTTTCAAAACATGCGGTTACCCCAAACCGCAAAGTATAGCCGCACGGATGATGAAGTTGAATTCTACAAGGAAATGAAACATATGACAACTTGTAAGTAATTAGTTTATTTATGCTAATGTTATTTATGCTTCTTCTTATAATAAAATGTACTAAACTATGTTGTTTTATTTGTAGATAACATTGGTGCTCAAACAACACAACAGGGTTTTTCAAATCCACTCACCAACACTTGAGTTTGTAACATTGGTGCATTGTATTTTCCTTTTAGTTTGTAACTTTAATTAACTTTGAATTGGATTTTTCTTTTTTATTGTAACTTTAATTATTTTGCTTTGCATTTTCCTTTTGGTTTATAACTTTAAAGAATTTGGAATTGGAATGCTTGAGAAGTTTAACTTTAATTGGAATGCTTGGAATTGTAACTTTAATTTTCTTAGGTTGTGAATGCTTGAGAAATTGAGGAGATTGTGAATTTATATATGTTTGAGAATTTGAGGTTGTGTATTTATTTATTTAGGTTATGAATTTATATTTTTGTGAATGCTTGAGAACTTGCGGTTTTAAACCACTAATTCGCGGTAACCGACGGCATTTTGCGGTTTACCGCAATACGGTAAACCACAAAAAGCTGTCGGTTTGCGATTTCAAAAATCACCAAACCGCAAATAGTCGGTCGGTTTGCGGTTTGAGTAAAAATTCGCGGTTACCGAACCGCAACCACTCCTAACTAGAATCATAAAAAATTTGAGAGGCTAAATTTTGTGAATAGTACCTTTATGAGGGGCTAAAACAGCACCTAGCCCCTTGCCCCTTGCCCTTGCATTACACGGCAATCAGAATTGACAATGTACATAGAGGAGCATACCATAATTTTACAATTTATTTTTGGCTAAAGTGCAGTTTTGCTCCCTGAACTATACCATAATTGTTAATTTATCCCTTAAGTTTTTTAATAGGTAAATTAAGGACTTAAATTTTATAAAAATAGTCAATTGGTGACTTGCCATCAATTTTTCGGATGTCAGTCCAAATTTTCGTCAATATTAGGGGTGAATTCGTAATTTCACTTCAAAAAGAGAAAATAACAAAAAATAACAAATAAATATATATATAAAAAAAATGCTCAGAAGCTTTGCCAACAGACCGTACACCCAACCTGTAAACCAAGACCCAGACCCAAGCCAACAGACCTTTTTAATCAATTTCTCCCTTACACACCATTTCTGCACAAATTAAGACTAACCCAATCGTTGATCTCTTACATGAAAGCTAAAAATAGCTAAATATCAGAAGCCATCACAAAATCAAGAATAGCTACACTTGTATTTTAAAAACTGAGCAATCCTTGTTTTGCAGCATGCTTATGAAATTCTATTTGCTTTCAAAGCACAGCCAATCGAATTCGAAATCCCAAAAAAATCATACAAGGTGAGAAACAGACCAATAAACAACAGCTCCACAGCGAGCACATCGGCGCCGTCGATCGCGAGATCAAGAACAGGGTGCCGCGCGGCTTCGAGTTGGCCTCAATCGTAGGCCTGCAAAAGTCATTTCCAATATTACAGAGTTTAGCCGTGCGGCTATACTTTTATAGTATAGCCACCCGGCTATAATATTTAAATTTTTTCGAATATTCGGCTATACTCTTTAAATATATTCGAATTTATTTAGGTATAGCCGCGCGGCTATATATATTCAGAAGCCAACTGCAATAGCTCTCTTACTTACCATGATGTGTTGAGGTAGGCTGTGCCTCATACTCTAAATAAGATTACTTTTTTCGTCTCTTCTACTTTCGCTAAATAGTGAAAAGTTTTACCTTTCCTTTGCCAATTATGTTTTGCAGGTTCAATCACTTCGACTTGGAGCTCCTGTTCACAAGGGCGACATCCAAAGAACAATTATAAATTTGTGTTGCAGTTTACATAACATACCTTTCACCCCTTAATCTATCAATTCTCTTATCTTCCTCCACATTTCATTCTATGTTTGATCATTATCTAAGTTTGATATCAACATCATGGGTTATCGGTATTAATTTTTCTAATTTTTTATACAAGCTATAATAGGGGAGGGGGAATTGAATCTAGGACCTTGTGCACAATGCTCTTAACCACTTGAGCTACAAAATCCTTTGAATGGGGCATCGGTATCTATAGTATGAATTCTCAAATGGTTTAAGGAAAAACGAAATGATATTCTTTCATCCCATTAATTGACCGTATTATATCGCATATGAGGTCCGATTGTTATTCCAATTATTATGATCGTTGGTAATTGACACATGCCGCTTCAAATATGATATGTTGACATTATGCATTACAATGTTACAAGAAAAGAGCTTGCAAATATCATCATATTCATTGGAAACGAAAGAAAATATAGTATTAATCACTCTTCAAACCAAAGCTC